GGAATGGAAGCCGACTTCCGTCTTTGTTGTTCCTCGACGTTGTCAGAGTTCGTGGAGTGCAGAAATGCAATACTTAACAATAGCATTTGTTTATCTGAAGTGAAATGGAAACGAAATAGTCTGGTCTCGTGCTGTGCTTCAACTCATCCAAGCCATTTCCACGTTACTTATGTTTTCATGGCACGAATATCTATATGTTAAATCACGCAAGAAGATTACGGTCTCTCTCTGTGTAACAAATCATCATTTGTATCGGGACTGCAAGTCCAGGACTGAACTACAAATATGCATCCGAGGTGAATTTCTGTTTCCTCTGTGTACACACATACTTACGATTAGGGACGTTTGCATTTAAAAATTTAGTCTACTTGTACACGTGCACAACCTTGCGAAGTTTGGCAATGGAAAGAATTTTCAATTTATTGCATAATTGTATAATTGCGTCTGATAAAAAATGTTTTTCTTCTTGTGTACCCGAAATTGGAGTACATGAATAGTGGATAAGGACACGGGTATGTGAGGCCAACTAGAAATTCTGTAGCTAAGGAGATGAGATTGAAGACAGACCTTCTCATTTAGCGAAACGTATTTTGTTGAATTATTCGTGTAATTGAAGACTAGCAACGACGACAGACAAAGACGCGTACAACACGCAATGGAGTATTTGGTGGATGGGAAATGCTTGGGGCTTCCATTTAGTTTTTCAAAGAACTGGTCCCCGAGGTCACCTTAAGATCACCCTTCTTATGTCTCTCTTACGTCCCATCAACTTTCTTTATTCTATCTCCGCACACTCCAACGCAGTACAAACATACCTCCTGCATTCCATCCAGAAGAAGAAGAAGCTGGGAGACCAACACTAAAACTAACGATGGTTTACAACCCGATACTTATTTTCTCCGGTATCTCTCCAGTCCGTCCAACGTTGGAAAGCTTGCCTTCGTATCAACGTGAGAATTTAGGTTCCACCCTTTGATATCATCTTCAATTATTCCTCCCCGATAATACTTATCCGAGCCAGCCTCGCTTCGTTTTGTCACAGTGATTTCTAAGCCAAGAAGGGCCTTCAGGGTGGGCTCAGATAAATCTAAAACTTTGAAATTGGCTGGCTCGTTTGGTGGTTGCAACTGTTGATTGTATTGCAAGTTTAATAAAAATGCAGGCAGGCTGAAGTTTCCTGGATTATTTTGGCTAAAGTTCCTTGGGTTGAATTATTTTGCGAGTTTCGTGGTCTACTTGATTGCTTATAATGTCATCTAATTTAATGAGTTATACGTTTTATTTTATTAGTATTTATAACTTGGTAGCATAACATGTATGCTGATATATATTACCCAAGCTTAATGCAACTTTTAACTTATGTGTGATTGATGCAAAACTAAAATGCATAAAAATATTCACAATACCAGTCCTTTGATGAAACGTCTCTTCAAGTCCTTCACATGTAGTGGCATGAAAAACACGCTCCTTTTGTATTTTAATGTTCAGTCGGATTAACAAAAAGTGCTGCAGTCACAACCAACTAACAACTTGAGCTTTGATTTATTTGCAGGCGGATAAGTGGAAGCTGGAGGCAGAAGAACAAAAAAAGTTCCTCACCTCATTATTCACTTTTCATAACTTATAAACAGCCTGAATTGCATCACATTAGCGTCCACACCCTCTCCATAATCCATCCTATGTTGCGAACAAAAATATGAAATGTTTGAAAGGGAAGATGCAGTAGGCTTCCTTTTTGAGCTTTTTGATGCTTCCGATCACCATTTTTAACCGGTATCATTTAGGTACCAGTTCCGAAAGCAAACCCATCATCGAAATTATATTTTCTTCGTCCAATTCTTACATATTCTTAGACACGAGTGCATTGCATAACCAAAAGAAAAAAAGCATCACCGAAATTATCAGAGTTTTGTTATATCTTTATAAATTTATGCCATCACACGGCCTTATCTCATATTTAGCGATGTGTTTTAATCAATTTAATGTTTCGCATTACCAAATCAAATTTTACACCATAAGTTCATGGCAGATATCACTGTGGACAAATACTACTCATCGTCAGATAAGTGCGGAGCGTGTGGATATAATAAATCCAGCAAGTCTCATTTATTTAGGGTCTACTTTTGACCTTGCATGAGATGAGACATCCCTATCGTTCCATTTATTACACGAAACGAAGGAAGGTAAAAGATAATCATAATAATAATGATAATGAATTGTGAAACAGGCGGACAGTTGAAGATGGGGGAGTGTATTATTAGTCAGTCAGAAAAGGGTGGTCCCTCTGAATTTGTCTGAATTGTCATCGTTGGATCCTTTTTCATCTCATCATTATCATCATCCTTTAAATCGTTATTGCAAATCGAACGGACGCTCAGAGTTAAGTAACGTTGGTGTGCAATCGGGTTGAGTTGTTGCACTGCTCACATTACGGAATGATGTATCAGACAAAATATGCATATCAGTCGAAAGTAATTACAGCACAAAAGCAACCCGTAACAACTTTTATCGTTCATTTGGTAGTTGTTTCATAATCAAAATATCAATGAATAATAATGATTTAATCAAATACCTACATAAACTTTCCAATATTTACAGACACCATTTACGGACACTTACGAACTTCCCTTTTTCGGCCTAGAGAAGATTTTCGCCCGAAATCCCCCGGCCTCTCTATTTACTCAATTTTCCGAGTAGTTAAGTGTGGTGATTTGCACCAAAATAATTAAAAAGTCAAGTTAAGTTCTCCAAGTAAATATTTTATGAGTAAATTCACTTCAATGCCATTGTTGCAATGCAGCTCATTCCTTGTCCTGAAATAAATTCCAAAAGTTGTGCACCGTCTGGTAACTTAAAGTGTTCTTTCTGATGTGCAAGTTTTCTCATACAATGGATTCATTGCATGTATTCTTAAGATGACCTACGTTGTTTTTATCCAGATTGATTACAAATAATGTTTGTTAAGCATTGTCTGCTTACGATATTCTGTAAATCCCACAAATCTATAAATTCGTGCGCATTCATTCAAAATTGGTATTGAATACATTTTCATTATAAACGTATGTAGCTTATTAATCAAATATTAGCAGTGGGAAAAGGTAAAGCAACGAGAACCACGAACTAAAATTGCAAACCATTAACATTTCAAACCTCATTAAGAAAAACAAAGGGATTTCATGAGGCATGTCAACAGCAAATATTCCGCTTTCTTTATGTTCAGTGCCGTCCATTCTTCCTCTGCGCAAGTTTATCAACGTTCGCCACTTAAGCTAACGACACAATCACGGCTTTGGTGAGCATTGGGTGTCGACTTGGAAATTTGCACTCTGACATACGAATTTAGGTATATCAACCAACGACTAGGGCTTACTAGCACCAATAATTCTTTAATTTGAATTGAAAGCATAACAACCAACTAACGCAATTAGTAGGAATTCTAGCGTACCACTAAAATTAGTACTCATAATGGAATGAGGTTGACTTTGTCTTTTGCTCCAAAATAGCAAAATCAAACCATTTCATTAGTCGTAATTTCGCCAGGAAATTTAGAAATTTGCCACAACCACATCCTTTTCACTACACGCTACACTACATCCACATGTTCATGCATTAAGTCAGTCTGCAATAAAAGGTCACAACTGATTAGACTGAAATCATTGAAATGCCGTCATAAATCTGGAAATAATAGGCTTGCTTTTGAAGACTTGAAAATACTACAAGGGAATAAAGTTCTGTGCGATTATAATTAATTACAATTACATGGACGCCTCACAGTATCTGATGCGGAATTAACATATTCATCCCCACACTTACCATTGCATTACATTATTGCAAATATGTGATACTCCTAAAAACTTTGAAAACCCATTTTGTGTCAGCACAAATAACACGGTAGTTGCGAACAGCCCACGAGGCCATAACTCATTTACACCTCTTGTATCTCATTGTAGTTGTCGAAATGGATTTTTTCAAAGTCATAATCAGATGCCCACCTACCACACTTCTTTTGAGAACAAAGAAGTGCAAAAAACAAAGACTGGTTGGTACCCGTTGTTTTAAATTTCTTCCACCAGTTCCACCCAATTTTACTCTGTTGTTTCTTTTTCCAAATAATCTGTGGTAAAAATGCCATCAGTTTCGTTGAAAATGAATTACCTTCAGCATACACATGCATATTTACAGTACATCCGTATACAATGGTTTATTAGTTTGCCCATTTCTCGCGTTGCATGGTCGTGACTTGTTTTATTTTGTGGCGATATGTAAACAAAATCTCGACACTGCGCACTAAATGCTAATAAAACAATTAGTTTTCCAATAAATTTCAAAGCAGAAATAAGACGGGCATTACAGTGAAGGGAACATATGGTTGACTGGTGAGATTGCATTTTTGGCTTGGTCTCTCTCACTCCGTCTCCGTTATCAAATTGGTCCCTGCAGAAAAGTAAAAAAGCTATTCAGTTTAACCAGAAAATACAAGTAGGCATATAAACATTTGATATGTATGTACGTATGCTAGATTTTTCCTTGTTGACCACCAATACGGAAAAAAACATGGTTTTTTTTGTGCTACAGATGCGATCCTAAATTTACTCGTTCTTGCTATCTTTCTTGTGTTCCTTACGCTTCTGCCTTGGAGAATGACCACTTGGAGTGGAGATTGAGATTTGCCCAACTAAAATATTTTTCTCACGCAATTCCATGCAGAATGAGAAGGAATAAATTTGTCTGTCTGTTTGAGTATCCGATTTTTCCATTAAAGAAAGAAATATTGAGAGGGAAGGGTGCCAAAAGCGTGAAGTAGCAGAAAATACAAGAAGAAGAATGAAGTAGCAAAAGGCCTTTTAAACCCTCCATGTGCTTACGCAGCTTTGAAACTAATATCTTTTACCGTAAACATAAAAGCCGGCACATTCGAGAAACATCTTCTAAAGAATTTGCTCATTCCACAAAAGACTTTAACGCCCATCCTGTGAGAGTAAAGCACTTATGTATGTACATATGTGAGAAAATGTTTAATTTGCTGTATGTATTCTTTAATGAGTATAATTGTAGATTCATTTAAGATGTACAATTTCTGCTAATTAATTGAGACAATTTTACAAATTAGAAATAAAAGTATTTTACATGAGTTGCTAATTTTTACGCAGTATTGTTGAACACTTATTGCTTTCTTAATGTAGCATCAGACTCATTTTCTGCATCTTCATCTTCCTCATCCCCAGGTTTGCTAGGAACAACAACAGGAACAACTTGAGGCAAAGGGGCCGCAGTGACAACTGCAGGTGCAGGCACCGCTACAAATTTTGTAGTTTCTACAGGAAGTTGTTGAACCACGATTGGCTCAAGGACCTGAGGTTGCGTATTTTGGATTGGTAGTGGATTGACGACAACAGTTGAGGACGGTTTCTGTGACGGTGGGACAATGGTTGGTGGTGCCGGGGTGGTTATATTGTAGTATTTTTGGCCTTGTTGTACACCTTGAGTGAGAATGGTGTTCAAGGGTAGAGCGACACTGGTTAAAATTGTGTCAACGCCCGTTTCGGTGTCTTGATCTTCAATGAAGCCTGTGCTCCCTTTGAAAATTTGTCCAAAGTTACCACTAAATAGTCCGCTGATGATTTGACTCACTTGCTCGCCCACTTGTTCAACTTCTCCAACACCATCTTCCTCATCCCCCTGTCGAAGCTTATCTTTCTAGTAAATACAAATTTATTGTTAAATGAATATCTATTTTACAAGTACAAGTGCTACAATTGTAGGTCGGAAATAATGCATACCAGCTTCGTATCTGGTTTCACTGGTTTATTTTCTGTTTCGGAAACTGGCACTGCAAGAGTACTCGCCTGAAATTGCAAGAAAAAAAACGTATTGCAAATTTTTAGAAACAATCACAATAATGAAATTTCTTACAATTATCGCCAGCAACGTAATGATAGTAAATTTCATATTTGTACTGTCTGGTTAAATTTGGTTAACTTGGTTATTGATTATTTGTGCACTCCAACAGACACAAATCTTTAATAATACCGGATTTGTGGAGTGTCAGAGTCTATTTATTTATTCTAGTACGTGCATCTGTATACGTAACAATTGCTCGTAATTACTCAGTTAGCGAACATGTTTCTCGCCTCGTGTGCAGGAATTAACTGTGTTTATTTGATATTTATTTTAATGAGATGAAACATCTTTGTTGGATCTATTCATGCCATTTAATAATCACAATTTCGAAATACTGCTACTCAAAGTGAATCAAAGCAGATGTAATAATTACTTAATAGCATATGCATAATAGAAAGTTGAAGTATTTATACATAATACTGATCAGCTTTGGTAAATAAACTTCATACACACTTTGTTTGGATATTGGCTTTTTTTGCAAAATGTCACCAAATTAATTATTCGCCAATTGTATAAGCAATCAGAACTAAATACTTATTGCTAGCAATGCCAATACATTTACTCATATGTATTTATGGTGACACAATAGCTATTGCATTATGATGGCAGTTGTATTATTGTCATATTTTGTAACATACAAAAATCCTCCCTTACGAAAATGTTCATGCAGGTAAAATGTGCATGATACTAATACTGCTGAGAGAATCTTCTTGTCCGATGTAATAATAGTTTCAGCGATGCAGTGGAAACAAAAATCCAATAATAAAAAACTAATGGGATTTTGGCCCTGCAGCATGGAGCTCATCCATCCGGTTGGGTTTTTCTCCACCCGATCGCTCATAATATCATCTCAAGAGCACTAGTTTCATATTTTTGTAGAAAAACGTCATCATCATAACATTACAGTAAAACTCGTTTTCTGCCTTTGTTATTTTCAAACGTGTATTGTGTATTATTTGAAGTTTCAAGTTGTCCGAAGAAAGTGGACGCGCAGAGACGGTTGCAGCACACGGTAAAGTGATCAGCAACAAAGCAAACAGCTCGAATTGGTTGACTCACGTAACAACATCCAACTTTCTCTGCCGAGCAAAGGCAACTCTCTCTCGGTAGGAAATATAGATTGAAATCTTTGTTTTGCTATTGCTTCGCTTCCAACAAATGCACTGCTGCTCTGTTGGTTGTTTGCAGGAACTGATCCAATAATATTATCCTAGATTCAAGGTTGTGGAAAATGCAATGGATAGAAATGCTCGAACGAATAGCAGATAAGAGTACATGAACTCTTACGGCTTTGGACTCCGGAGGGTTAGGATTAATGATTGCCCATTATTTACAACTCTGCTAGCAACTCCAACGAGGAAGGTACGATCAGCAAAATGAAGTGAAATTGATGAAACGCATGAACTTGATTCCTTCCAATGAATTATAATTCAATGTAAGTACAACGATGCGATGCGATGCGTGGACATAGGTTGATTGCAGAGTTGAAAGGAGTGGCATCATCATCATCAGCATCGGGAATGAGTTAGTGCGAGACGCTAGTGCATACGAGGGTTTGAAATAAACAGATAACTGCAAAAGCAAAAAGGTGCGTGCCAAGGGGTCGTAAAGACCCGTATAATAATAAACATTGTTTTAACGTTGCAAGAAAAGTTTGAGGTGGAGATGTAACGGACCGCTCTATATGCGTGACCGAGCCCTTTATTGCACAGTACCAATTCGCACTGACCAGTGCACGTTTTACCAAATTTGGAGCTGTGCGGATGGCAATTTTCTAAATTGAAGTAACGTGAATGGACATTGAAAATTAAAAAAATCACATTAAAAACATGATCGGTTCAATTTTTAAAATTTAGAATTGTAGGTTTGCCGTATTTTATGAGTCCCATACAGTTATCTTGTACGTAAGTAAACTAGAAGTACTGCAACACAGTTTATCTCTATGACCTCAAACACTAAAAAAATACGCCAATACGTAGAACTGAACAAGGACAAAGGAATGATGAGGGAAGTGGTCCTCTAGTTTATTGTCCTCTATTTTCTATACACACGTATCTGTGCAGCTGAGGGATGCTTGATAAAATCACACCACTTGAGATGATAGAGTTTGTCATCATCATCCATAACTTTGATTCTTCGATCTTGGAGACACTGGAGCTTGCCTAAAAAAGCAAGACAACGACGTCGGAGCGTGCTGCAATGAGAATAAAGCTTAAGACAAGGACTTAGCCTGACTAAGGAAGGATTTTAACTCTCTGATGGCTTTTTTCTTCTGATTACCAACCAAGTTATCTTACGCAGAGGGGAAATGTCATTACTAGAATTCTATCATGCGATTCATCCCTGAGGAGAAAAGGCTGCCGCCTGCGTGCCTGGGATGCATCTCGGTCCATACCAACATGTAAGTACTATGTGTTCTCGTGATACAAGAGGCAAACTAGTAAACTGGAAAGTTATAACTTCGATTCGAATAACTGTTGTTCCCTTGCTCGGAATACTTTGGCAACAATATACACACAGAGATAGACAAGAAAAAGAGGCGACTCGCTTCTCCAGCATTATCATCCCTCAACTCAAGTACACGAGCTGATACTAACACAACTACTAATGCAATACTTGATGGAATTGTTGGTTGGTAGTTACGGCCGAGGGTGATACTCTGTCCAATCAAATCCACTTGACGATGAAAACCGTTTCTTTCAAGGCAGTTTGGAGCTGTGGCGACGAAAAATCCACTCGTATCGGAATGGATATCCGCTGATAGAATCGAGAGGGATCAAACGCCAATAAACCGGGCACTTATTTCTGCCAAATGAGTTTTGTTTCGGACTCATTTCCGAGGAAAACCTCAAAATCTTCAATGATTCTTATGGCAAAGCTGCTTATTGGGGACATTAGGAGCCCAGCAGAAATATTTTCCTCCAAGAATCTCGAATCTTTTCTAAGAGGACATATTATTTATCCTTCAAGTCCTTTCTTTTTTTGGGTAATAATTGAATGTTGGTAATTAAATAAGATACCACGCCGTGAATTTTCTTGTCTTGTGCGTCACAAAAGATAATGTGTATCACAAAATTAAATACTCAGTCAGCCATACATGCACCATTTGCTTGTTTCTTATATTAGAAAACTCTGGTTTATCTGATTTATATTGGAGATTCTTTATATCATCTAAAGGTGAACGTGTATATACCACAAGAAACTACTCGATACGCCATCAAAGAAAAATGCAATCGTAACATTACCCCGTTTCTGGCGAGCATGGTTCCCTGGTGTATTTTCGAGACTGTCCCGAGTAACACCGCCTAATTGCTGTCCTGCTTGATGATCAGACACGATTAAAGAGCGAGTCTTGTTACATGAGCGTCAAGGGTGGTCCATGTGCTGTCACCTTAAGACCTTAAGTCCTTGTGCCACAACAGTGCTGAGTTGAATCCCAGAATCCATTTTCTCGCTAAACTTATGGAAAAGTTTCATTTGACACATCCTCAAATCCTTCTTAAATCGATCCTAAATCCTCATCACCTTTGAGTCACATGATATCTCTGGTAGCCTTACAATTCGTAATACATACGTATGTACCTACGTACGCTTTGGATTACACCTTTCACTGTTATATCTTTTCCAGCAATTCATGGAACAGAAAAATACAATACAAAGTTTGGTTGTCATCAGCAGATTGTGGGCGATAGATATAAGTGCATATTTCACGTTTAAGATCAAGATCTTATGCATACGCGAGTAAGCGTAAACTGATATGTATGCACCTGTGTTTTATGCACATTGCTTAATTAAGTGGGGTACTTAATGCATATAGGGGGCACGAATGCAGTGCCCATTTTGACACCTACGCAGGAATATAACATTAGCCTAAAAACTGGAAAAGCTTGACTAAATCCTACTCATCCATGACATTGTAAATTCGAAGTAACCAACTCTAGTACTTTGTGATGCAAGACGATTCCCCTTTATTCACAGATTTGCTTAGGTTGCGCAAGTAGAAAATTGACAATAAAACCTAATAAGCAGATATAAGAAGCCGACGCTTTTTACTCACACACAGCACAAAGTAATTCCCCGTCGTCCTGGCTTCACTCTCCCTGGAAATTAACCGTCTTCGTATTCATTCTTCGGGATTATTAGGGCGAAAACTCACCCTTCGTAAAACCAAGTAGTTGGCAAATAGACGGTCATTCGGTCTTCGTTCGTCGAATACTAATTTGTGTGCCACGTTCTCTTGAGTCAATCCGAAGGGATTTGTCTCATAAACACTGAAAATAAAATCCGACTAAACTGCCTGCTTGATGAAGCAGTCTTCCTCCCTCTCGATCTCCATGCCTGGTGGCGATGTGGTTTTAAAGTAAGTGGCAAAGTGAGGGGAGGAATCCATTAGAATCCGATGCATTTTGCATTCACTTCGCTTTAAGGAGATGCAATAAAAATCTAAACCGAAACCAAAATTCAAAGCTGCTTCTAAGGCTTTGGGTCTACTCCTTGTTATAAAAACCTTAAATAATCAGTCTTCCAGTAAATCAGAGGAACGGAGAATAAATAAGTGGCAGAGATATGTAAATACGTATCCAAAATTGGGAATATATTTGGTCGCAGTCGGTATAGTTTAAACTTTGAGTATTTACAGAAATAGATTAATTTTGAGCCGCATAAAAAACAGCGGAAGCGGGGAGAGTGAAAGCTATAGTAAATATCTTTTATAGTTTGTTTATTTGGTTAAAACTTAAATGCCTAAAGTAAGAGCTTGGTTTTTTTAAATCAAGATTTTTAACCGTTTGCAAGTGCTGCTTGCTACCTTACTCCCTTCACATCATGGTTCTGACAGCGTCATTTTTAAAAGTCAGAGTGTTTACATAGATTGAGAGAAAAATTTGAAAATGCACACGAGTGAAAAAACAAACGAGAGCATGAAACGTCCTGGAGGAAGCTGCTGGTTGCTGTACAATATTCCAGTCTAAAAAGCCAGAAGACTTTGTCTAATTGGTTCATCATTCAATGTTAAGAATGTGTGCACACAGTGTGTTGCTTATTTGTCGCATAATCACAACAAGGCAGCATGACATCACATTCATAAATTCGTTTGGAGACTCATCTTGATGACTCCATAAATATCAAACATTTTCAACAACTCGGCACTTAAAACTTCAATCAGCTTCACACAATTGGAGCATAAAATTATCTACATCTGTTAATCCTGCTTTCAAAGACTCGGCACACAACTCTAAAAAACTGTCATTTTACAGAAGGGCCATTGGTGTTTCGCACCCTATAAATGGCTTAGAGATGTCATACCTGAATTAGTTTCAGGTGTGGTGAAAGATATGTAAAAGCTGTTATTTTAAAAAGCATGCTGCTATCATTCACTGTAGAGAAAGCTTACTCAATATCTTTCATCGCACTTCTTGTATCGTCAAATGGTGAGCTTTCTATTTGGGTTTCGTTTACTTTGTATTTTAAGATTTTGGTCGTCAAAGTAGACATTAATTTCGCAAGTCTACATAAATTTGATATTTATCTTGTAATATGCATCGACTTTTTATCCGTGTCTTTAGATACGTTAAAAATTGACACTTTGCATAGGTGTTAATTTTTTGGAATCTCCTAAAACACGTTTTTGGTGGTGCTTTTCTTAGCCTCTAGGCCAAGGACCAAGCTCTAATTACTCATAATTAACCTTTATGGTAGAAGTTAGCCCCCTTTCTGGGACTAATTTCATCCAAATCAGATAATAATGGAGGGACTTATGGATCATGGTTACTTTTCAAAAGCTGGGCGATTGCACGCGATTTGTTCTATTTTATACCTTTCTAAGAAAAACTATTATCAAGGACTATTTGGATTAAAACTTCTTGTACTATTTTTATCTGTATGTCAACAGTTTAAAGAAATAATTTTTGTACAACTGAGCACCATGTCAATCAAAATAAACTGAACAGCTATGTATATGTATGAAGGGAGCGTGACGAATGTACTTATTTATGTATAATGTACGTGAAAGACGTATGTCTTGTCCTTAGTCTTAACGAACTTTATATTCACAAGACAACGACTGGAGTACAACAAACTTCAAGTTTGCTCGGTTTGGTAATAAATAAAACTTTTCGCACCTTTTGTTCCCCGGTTGTGTGTTTGTTTGTGTAAAATGTGACTGGCTAGCAATTCTTGGGACAAAGTGGTTCTCTTTGTCTCATTCTTTTAACGTCTCCTTTGACTTTTTTCAAAAGTTATTTTTTGTATTTGCCAGCGACGAGCGAGGGTATTTGTGGTTGAGCGAGTGAATGAATTGATGTACTGCTGCGTTGGGCGTGGATCTTGTTGCCTTTAAAAGATAAAAGTTGAAGGCGTTTTCGATGCAGAATGAAGGCATTAAAAAAATCATCGCTTGAGTCTGTCCACAAATGTATGCCCTACATACTATATATGCATCTAAATATGTGATCGTATTTGGGATGGTGGACATGCGACACGACAAAATACAGCAGCAGCTTGCTCGAAAACTGACGACAAGCCAACACACACTTGTTTTTATTCTTTGTGTATAAGAGCACATTTCACTACATGAGTGCTTCCAATCGCTCTCGACAATCTCATCTTGTGTCTGCTGCAATTCTAAAACTCTTCAATTTATTTCCAAGTCATGTTAAGAAATATGTCTCCGTTGAGATTTATGACATTCTAAACAACTTCAAAGTCTTCATGTTGCACCTTTAGTGTTCAATGTAGCGTTGCTTTGGAGACTATTGATTGAATGCCTACGTACATATTTAAATATATGATTCACCACAATTTATACACTCGAATCATTTTAGGTCCAAAGTAATTAGATGCGTTATTGTTGCAGTTATGCATAACCTTTTAGTATTTATTGTAATGTGTGTACGCAGGTATGTATAGATATGTAAATTACTTGCAATCTTCTGCATTGCAATTTTGTAAGTGGAGAAGGTGAAAGTCGTGTACTCATTAAAAATTTTTAAGTTTGCATATTTCTATAGCATATGCAAGAACGATTATATAAAATCATACATAGTGAATAAGTATATAGTCATTCATTTAATTTAGCTTGAAGCATGCAATTTAACAACTTTCTCCAATTCACAATCATAAAAAAAGTTAGCCGATGTTGATATTTAACTCATAAACAGTGAGGAAATGACTGACACCTTTGGCACCGCTTGTGTACATACCTATGCACGAGTGCATATTTTTTACCTGGATAACATTGCTGTGCTTGCTCACTTTTATTTACGAAATTAGTAAAATTGCAGAGAGAGATTGGCATATTTAAACTTTGCTTTGAAGCACGTTTGTTTGTTTAGGAAATACCACTCATCCATCCCAAATGCATTTCATCACTTCAAAACATCAAGTTATTAAACGACCATGGCTGCACATACACTTTAATTCCGGCCAAGGATTTCTAAGATGGAAAAGGAAGGCTTGCCATTTATGTATCCGTTTAAGTGTATTTTTTCCTTCAAGAACGAAACTTAACTTTGGTAACCTCCAGAATAGGAAGAGAAATTTGAAATTTTGTCACCAAGTCTCTGGGGCCTACTCATAGTGGCTGCTTGGCTGAAATGGAATGAAATGAGAAAAAGCAAGACGACTGGATGAGAAGACTTGGTAACAAGCACACGGTATTGCATGCATATGCATTCAATTTTAAGTTCAGGTAGATCGAGCCATGAACCAGAGGTGTCTGGACGTCTCTCCGTTTGTGTTTTTTCTACAACTTTTCTACAACTACGTTGGGTCATTTTAGATATTCATGTTTATGGTAAAACAGACGCAATGTTGTTGTCTCGTCTACAAATTTAGATTTTGATATAGAAGGACCTGAACCGTAAATATTTTGTTTCAGCTCTTCCATTACACACGCGTTCACAAAATTCTGCTGCGGAATATTCCTTCAAAATTGAGCAGTAAGTGAAAGCAGCTTTCCTTATAATTCGGTTTAATCCTTCAGTTTTTTCCAAGTATATAAATATGATTGGGAACGTATTTAATCAGAAGCTAGTTGGAAGAAATACAATACTTGTGCTGTGTCTATGTAAAAATATTTTTTGTTTACATAAGAACCTTAAATTGAACGAGTACATACGCCGTATTAGTAGGATTTCTTGCAGACTTTTTTTTAAATTTTACTACAGAATACTACGAACCTGGCTGTAGCAGGGAGGAGAAACCTCATCATTAAGTCACCCCTGTCCTGTCTCTTATCTCGAGATTCAATCAGTGTATTTCGTCGTTCAACTTCACCTCGGGAGGAATAGAGGAAGGACAGGAAGCTGAGGAAAGTAAATAATAACAAAGCTGCATGCCAAGCAAGAAATCTCAGAATTTTCCTTTCTCTCCTCCAGCCCTCGTCGCATGTTTGTACAAGGACGATGATGCAAATATCTGATTTTGAAAGATATCACATGGCATTACCCTGACTTGCCTGAACCCCAACTCCACGGCTCCTCGGCATATGATAATGGATTATTTTGTTTTACAAATAAATGCACCCACCAACACCACCCTTCTCAGCCGTAGATATTTTCTTTGTGCTCTTGCAGTCTTCTCGAGATGGAGGAGAGATTAGCAAAGCCAAGTTGCAAGCGGGGGACTTGGAGATATTTATTATTTTCATTTCACGGAAACTTGCTGGAAGAAGAGTGACAGTTCTCCAATTTCCTTGGTAAAGTATGTACAGAAGGAGGAGACTGGGGCATGGTGACAGTAATAACAAGTCCTCTGGTAGTGAGAAATAATAGAATTCAAACTGGGAACCTGTCCTCTCTCACTTGCCCGTCCCTTTAGCAATAGGGAGTCGGAGGAGGAGGCTGGCTGCTAGGTGAAAGCAAGGACATTTTAATAAGAGTAAAGTCGATGCAACAAGATGTGAAAAAGATGTGACGACCTGAATTTGAATAAGACGATATATTTTTTGGGGATGATTTTTTCAACACGATACACAGACACTGGGTAAGTTCCAACAATAACAACGACCAGCAGAGATGGTTATCTTGTAACTCTAAACAATATGGCAACCCAAATCCTTACGATTTTCAGTCAAGGATTCGACACTCTCCTGCCTGCAGGCTAACTTTTTACTAGTTGTGCTTGATTCGCTTTATGAAAACGTATCAGTAATTGAGAAAAATACGAGTAAATATGTAGAATAAATAGTTTGTGTATGTGCATATGTACATTCGATATGTATTCCCAGTAGCAAGTGTAAAGCAAATATTAGATCCTGGATGCAGGTAAACATTTCTCTGTGCGGTGTGAGAAATGCATCTTTGAGTAACAAATTGGAGTTCATTCTATTATTTTCTAGCGATTTCTACACCCTGACACAATCTCTTTCCACGATCCACAGGGCTCAATAGGTAAACAGTAATCCTCTTGGGTGGAGGGGGGAATGGTTCATCATCGTGGGGACACGTTACAGAAGACGTTGCTGGATGCGGTACGTATAGATTCGTATATTCACAGAGTAGTCACTTTCATCCGTCTGTCCAATGTATGCACTATCAACCCGACGATAAGCCAGACAATTCCAGAGGCGGATGCGGTGATAGTTTCTAAATCTCATGTTGGGGGATACTACAAATATGCGCTTATAGCACGCACAAATGATACACCAGAGCATACGGAGAAAGTTAAGTTCTTCCGGACCCGGGTTCGTTTTTATACCAAAAACGTGACAATCTTGAATGAACTCGGCCGTTGCGGAAATAGGGAAAGAATAGAAATTGTGAGGGATGGTTCCGCTGCCCCGTAATGGTTTTGGATTCAGAGGCTAAGAGGGTGGTTGGGTTGGCTTTTATCCTCTTAACTTGACTTGGATTTCATTTCCAAGTTGAAACTCGAACCACTTGGAAATATTCCACGAAATCGAAAAATGACTGGGTTGAATGGCTGGTGACAATCGGATTCATTTCTTGTTTTACGACAAAAAATCTCACCCTCTCACTCCCTCCTCATCCTCATACATTTCCTCCCAATCCCTGTGTACGTACGTATGTCTCACTCAAAGTAGTTGTGAATTGAATGAGCATAAGAAATCGTCTCAAAGAAACTATTTCCACCTTTCATCCAAGGCTTTGATTTACCACGTGTTTAAAGTGAACTGTTCGGAAACAGTTGACATTGGGAGTTTATGACGATGAGTTAATAAACTGTGGATGGGGACCTTCGATTTTAAATATTCTGTCCACGCATTCCATTAAAATAAATCATATCATGAAGTTGCTGACAGTCAATTTGACGACCTATGCCCGATCAATTTTTACAAGTAATCAATCCAGTTCCACTGAGGTTTTCTTTATAAAGGTTGACAGTTTCTTAAGACGCATAGAAAATATGTGGGATAAGAAACTGCACAATCGGGTGAATCATTTGGCTTTATAGCTTTTAGTACAAATTGTAAAGTACGTTGATTTCAATGGACTTTGTAAATACGTTCTCAATGGTTATTTTCGTTTCTTTTTAGAAATTGTAGCGCTGCACATGAAATAAGCCGATGGAAAAGTGTACAATGAATACGACTTTCCAGTTGCAGATTTGCTCGATTTGGTCAGAGACGGACAATGGCTATAAAAAAGGGTGACTTGCAAGTATCAAGCCACAACTGACAACTGAGACCAAGAATGTCAAGAGAGATCCCTTGGTCGATGATCAAGGGAAATATTGAGACTCGTGATATGGACAAACGATAGCCCGAAATGGACTTTAGGCGGACATTGGGATGTCATTATAAAAGTGGTGCAAAGACTAATAATGCCTTCGATCTCGATTCATAAAATGTGAATTTCTATTGCTCGTGTCACTCTGAGAGTGTAGGGATGAGGCTGAATCGTGCGAAGATCCGTATTATGGCACAGCTCATGAAGCTTTGCTTTACTTTGCTCAGTCAATAGAACGTGCTTGGAAAAT